GCCCACTTCTGAGCTTTTCGGGCAGAGTAAGAGTCAGGAGCAGCAAATGAGGCGAGGGTATGCGGTGTGGTATGTGGAATGGTAAATGGGGTATGGGGCATGGGGTATGGTATATGGTATAGGGCTCAAGTGTTGGTAGCATGTCTCGAAAGTCGAGTCGCGTCGAGTTGCTGGCGGTATATCAAAGAGCTTTTGTTAACCGCCCCCTCGAGTGGAGCCAAGTGGAGGATAAATGTGTGGATGGAGACGGAGACGGAGACGAAGACGACGTCACAAACTGTTGAAAGCGCAAAGTGAAAGATATATGACTTCAAGTAGGTGTAATCACACTCACACTCCCAAACAGACACACACACTTAAATAGGTTCAGAAATCCTAAATGACAGGCATACACGTTTTTGGTAATACCTTAACCTTCTCGGAAATTAGCTTTACATCGTAACAATCTTTTCCTTTCCTAGTTACAAACTTTTTTCCGAAGATGGCTAAAGTTTATTTATTGTTATACGGGGGTACAAAATAAAAAATATAAAGGAAAATTCTGATAATGCTGGTTTACTACTTAAACAATTGTAAAAATTGCTTCTTTATAAATCGTAAGCTTTTTAAAAATTTACAAAACCCTTTCTAAGAGTATAAAATTTACACTAAGTGTTTTTTTTTTCAAAAGAGGAAACTCGTTGACTGCTTCACGCTGAGAAATTACTTGGCCCATGGGTTTTGGTTGTCTCTCGGCGAGAATTCCTCCACCCAATGCATAAATTCTACAATTTTCCTCGGGCAAAAGGGTTTACCTTCGCTGCTCTTGGCCCGGCTAACTTCGGCTTCCCTTTTCCCAGCCGTTTTCTAGGTCTTGCCATTATTATTTTTGGCTCCCCCCAAACGGTGTCTGTGTGTTTGGGCCTGTGTTAGAGTATGCGTGAAATGCGATTTATTGTTTTCGTTAAAAAGATTTATTATACGCTATGCATGAACCCGAAACCAGCTTAAGAGTCCCTTGCCAAGGTCTTCTTGGTTCTCCTTGGCTTTATTTGAAAACTTTGCAAAAATTTCCACCACTCGTTGGAGCGGGAAAAGAACTAGGAGATAACAAAAGGTTTATTATTGGGTGTCTACAAAACTTACCTTGGCCAACAGGATTGTCTAAGTAATTGACCAAGAATATAATTATTGCATGCAATAACTTAATATCTTTATTAAAGAATAATAAATGATGCAAGGTAGTGTAATGAAAGTTTAATAAATTAATTGGCAAAATGTAGCTTATTATAAAAGCAACTTTTGATAACACAAATTACTTGATTTAAGAAGCCCACCCATCAGATCTTTGAACTGTTCTTGAAATGCAGACCACTTCAAATCCACTAAGTGCCATCAATATCCAGGGCATCAATTACAATTTATGTTCGACCCCCTGGCAGTCACGCCCCCTCGATTGGAAACTATTGAACCCCCTGTCCGCAGCCACTGACCCCCAAAGAGATGACTCTACAATCCCAGGGGTCGGGGATCTCCTTTTGGGATCGAAGTGGGGAGTGTGGAGTGTAGAGTCGGGAGTCCGGAGTCAGCGGGTACAAATTGCAATCGCAAGACATTCGTTCACTTGCCACAAGCTCCTCCTCCATCTGGCTGGATGTCCCTGCCTCTCAGCTGGCGCTCAGCCGCACGGACGTCAGAGCATATTATTGTAAATTGAACTCAATTACCAGTGACAGCAGACAAATTGAAGTGGAAATTGAGATCTTCTTTTGGGCGAAGAAGACGGTGATGGCAATGCGAATCGCTGAACGACGAAAAGCTTATAAAAGAACGAAAAAAAAATGTAAAAAACTTCACAAGAAATATTTTTGAGGGAAAAACGCACACATACACAAAGTACCTATAAGCAACGATAAAAAGAAAAAATATAATCAACGAATATATAGTGCCTTATACAAACAAATAGGTAATAAATGAGTAGTGCAGTAATTTGAGTTAATAATTACACATTTTTGTACACACTTATTTTACGAAAGATCTAATCTTGAACCCCAAAAAGACACAATATTTCAATTAATGGAATACCCTTCTGCTTTAATCACGATACCCCAATGAAGAGTACTTAAAGGAAAGAATCAGAAGAAACTAATTCACTTAAAAACACTTTGGTTTTGATGGGCCCCCAGAATGTGTGTACCCCCGTCGCACAGCCTCCTTCCCTTGAATATCCACCCCAGGATTGTGTGTCTGGCCGTCTGTGAAATGTCATTTGTCAAATGCACTTTGTGTCACTGTCTGTCGCAGTTCCCATCATGATTTCCCAGACCCCGTGCTTGATGTCCGAGTGTCACAGACATGCGGGTGAATTTGTCAAGATTTTATAAAAGCATAAAGCGAGAAGCGAAAAAGGTGATGGTCGAGGGGGTCCGTTCTTTGGCTAATTTATGAGTCAATTAGTCTGACGGCCTGGCCATGCATAAATATTATTATTAAATAGAGCTCTTCGAAAGGTACGAGGCTCTGTGGTCGGACATCCAAGACTTATTTCGTTAATCTTGCGTGTTGCGTTTATTGTGTCTTTGCTTTATGGTCCATTCAATTTGGCACAAGCTCACAGCCTCAAAAGCTATTGCTAAACACAATTGCATGCAACATTGTTGCTGTCGTCCACTGTAGAAAAATGTTATAAATCAAAAGCACTATGCAAATAGACAAAGAGCAATTATATATGGTACATCTAAATCATTCCGTTTACTTTGTTTCTCCTTCATTTAATTAAAACTTAAATTGTATTTATAGAATGCATTAGGCATACTTAAAGTTTCAGTGCATGGGGCTGTTGCAAGGAATGCTTCGTTGAGAATTAAGTGCCGTGTTGGCTCATATTTTATAGCCAAAACAAACGCTTGCATTGGGGTTAATGTGGTGGGCGCGTGTAGATCATTATAGAAGCCAGCTGAAATATTAATAAAATGCATATTCAAAAAAGAGCTATTAAATTAAATTAACATGAAAGAAAACTGTGAAACTAAATGTACAAAAAATGTTCACTTAATGAGAATTTATGGCGGCTATAAAATCATAAACGAACAGGAAGTAGTTGATATTAAAATTTATGAATGTGTCAGTCGAAGCTATAAAAGAAATATGTTGAAGTACTCTGGAAAAGAAATGAAAAAGGAACAGTTAATTATTTAGATTTTATTGATAGTTGACAAAAATGTTTTATGTATCGAACTTCAACAAAATTCCAAAAGCTCTTGAACCAGGTTCTTTTTCCGCGTTTACAAAAATGTGCAGCCGATAAAAAATGTATATAAATAAATGTGGGTGGTGCACGTGGATGTCATATCCTTCCCCATGTTGCATTTGCACAACGCAGTGGGGACCCATTTCGCTTTCGGTCATATAACACACCCGCGATGGCAGCAACAGCAACAACAACAACAACAATAGCAACAACGACAAGGGCCCCCAAACAAATCGAAGCAATTTACGAAAATGTAGAAAATGTCATTGGGCTGTCAGAATGCATCGTTGTTGTTGACATGTGACCATCCTTATATGCCCCATGCACCTCCCTGCTCTCTCCTTTCTGCAGCATGGTAGAAATTGTTATAAAAATCCACAGCGGCAACAGCAACAGCAACAACAACAGCGAGTACATTGCAACGTATAACAAATTGCACAGCAGCAGCAACAACTCTGCTGTTTCTGACAGTGAAAGCATTGTTGGCTGACAGCTCGAAAGGGCTCGAAGTGAGGGTGGTGCGACCCAAACAGATAGTGCCACATCCATGGACGTAGTAGGGGGGCTGCTAACGTAACGTAACGCTGCAACGTAGCACAGGGGGCAGCATGGGTGTTCCCTCTGTCACTGCTGTTGACCGTTAAATTAATGGCCAGTGGAAGTGGCAGCTGAGCAAAGAGAAATGCTGCACAAAATATATGTAGTATGCACATGTGCTGGCTTTCCAACTTTACATCGAAGAAATGTGGACCTTTTGGCCGAATAATTACTTAAACCATAATCTGCGAACACAATTGGATGTTTGGTCTGAAAGCAGAATTGTCTTAGGCTTTTTAAAAACTTCTTCTTTGAACTTTTGGTTAATCCAATTTTGGATTTAATACAATTTTTTATAGCAAGTGATTTAACAAAAATAAAAAGTCCAGATTCTAGATATATTTTGTTAACTAATAACTAAATTTTGATAGCTCAAGTTTTCTGTGAAATATTTTTTTATTAAAATGCCTTATAGCCACGAAAATACCCAGCAATTATTCGGCATATCTTTTTACTAACCGCAATGCTTTCGACTGATATGGATTTTCCCAATTTTCTCCCGGGTCTTGTCAGTCGTTTGCGCCTCGCAGCTGTTTCGCCGTTGTCTCATTTAAAATGTGAGTAGCTCTCAACATTTAACTGACAATGAGTTGTTGGCTGTTTCGCCGCCGACTGGTTGGACTTCGTGCTGCGTTGCACCGCTGGCAGCCAAGTGACAGATAGCGAATCCCTGGCAGGCTGGCAGGAAGCGACTGAGACAAGGACCACGAGGACAATGGGGCGGAGAAAGGAGATCCCGGCGGCAGGAAGAGTAAGACGAGTAGCGCGGGGCAATCAGGCGACACTGAAGAATACGGGGAAACCGAAAAGATTGAGGGGAAGATGGAGGACAGAAGATTCCCGGCGTCCTTTTGTTGGCCTTTTTTGCTGCGCCTTTACTACGGCTTGATCGTAATTGTGAGTGACAACGGCTTGATGCCTGATTATGATAAATGAATTGTTAAATTGAATTAGGTGTTGCCGCGCTGCTGTCACTCAAAAACCATCGTCATATTTCCCTCAAGTCCCGCGCAGCGTCTGCTTTTGTTGTACCCTGTAATCAGCGAGAAAAAGGGTATATCGTTTATCAACATCTGTTTGATGGAGGTAAAAAATTTTTCGCTTTTAGTATAAATACTATTATTATTAAAGATTATTAGATCAATGTATATAAACTTATTCTAGCAGACAACTATTAAAAATTTTGCAATTGTATTTTAGTAATTTTTTCTTTTTATAAAATCTTTTAACATAACTTAAGTGGTATAAAGAGGTCGGCATATTACAAATTTTTAATCTGCGTTGGTTGGCTTTCTCCTGGTTCGCTCTTCGCAACTCCTGCCACCACTTCAAAATGAAATTGCATGAAATTTGATATTTTTCAACGCTTGTCAACGGGGCCAGGACACAAAGGGTTGGGTTGGGATGGGATGGGCCTGTCAGATGATGGACATCCTGCCTGGAAGGGTTGTTTGGCAGCAATGGTTGGAAATCTGGCGACAATTGTTGTCTGTCGCGGTGCGGTGTGCTCGGGAAATTAGCTCAGGTTACCTTAATTACGGGCTCTTGATGCCCGCGTATCCTGAGAGGTTTGTTTGTTTGTGTTCATGAATAGTTGAGCTCCGGTTGCTAATAGGCTCTTAGACGGATGTTTGAGTTCACAGAAGTTAATAGACGGCTGTCAGCGGTACTCGTCTTTCACGTTTTGATCGGCGGGTTCTTTCTGGGAACTGAAATTGTATATTTTTGTATGTTTTCAATAAGCTCAAAAGTAGTTTTTAATGCTAAAATCATATTCAGATATATTTCATCATATAAGCAAATTTCATCTGAAATATGCCACAAAATGTATTTTTAAAGATAAATAAAGTAACTAGTACCTCGATTTATTTCAAAATTAGGCAAGCTGCCTTTTTAAATTTAAGTTAAAATTTTAAAATTCTGGCGACGGAAAACAAGAAGCATCGGTGGTTCAGTGGTAGAATGCTCGCCTGCCACGCGGGCGGCCCGGGTTCGATTCCCGGCCGATGCATACTAATTTTTTAAATTACAATAGTTATTCCAATTATTTTGGATTTATAATTTGTCGAACTGTTTTTTGGAGATTAAAATTTAATAGCCTGAAAATTACCAAAGTAATTGTTCGTAAACTCGTTTTGCGCCTGCAATAGCAACCTGCTACTTGAAATCCGGTTTTCCAACAGGAGGTGACTCTTGTGAATCTTTTGCAATGATGTTCGCCAATTTTTTGCAAAAACGAAAAAATTTTAGCATGGGAAAGGATATTTTCCTAACAGCATCGGTGGTTCAGTGGTAGAATGCTCGCCTGCCACGCGGGCGGCCCGGGTTCGATTCCCGGCCGATGCAAAATAACTTTTTTTACAGGTTATTAAAAATTTTTTATAAAAAATATAATTACCAAAAATGTAAATCTGCATCGGCCGGGAATCGAACCCGGGCCGCCCGCGTGGCAGGCGAGCATTCTACCACTGAACCACCGATGCTTCTTGAAGTTCAAGATCTAAATTGTCAAAGAATAAGTTAAAACAAATAGGAATTTGGGAATAGAATTTATCAAAAAAGAGTTATCAAAATTATGCTGTTTGTAACTTAACCGTTCTCAAGCATAAATTTCCATTCCAGCTAAATAATTGTCGAGCTTCATTGGTAATGATGCACCTACTGTTGGAAACCGGATTTCATATGTGGTCAGAACATTTAAAGAAGGAAAATTAGATCTCCACCCATTACTTTCGCAATACGTCTGTTATTGAAGCTGAGTTTTAAAGAAAAAAAACAATAAATTATCACATGTTATAAATTAATTAATAAAAAATTAATCTGCATCGGCCGGGAATCGAACCCGGGCCGCCCGCGTGGCAGGCGAGCATTCTACCACTGAACCACCGATGCTTCGTTGGAGACCTCGCCAAATAACCCAGCCACAATTTTAGTAGGGATGGGGAGTTCCGTATAATTCTACTTTCGATTGAATGAGAGACTTTCATAGTCTTAAATAAGAATAAGAATTCTTGTCGTTGTACCAAAGTACATATTTACCACTCTTCAAAGATCACCTACCGACAGCACGAAAATTGTCAAATAGGCAAGGTGTAAGCACAAAAGACACAGCGAAATATATTCTTGTTGCCATCCAATTTCGCTGGCTAATCAAACAAGCGCCGAATGTCATACATTTTCATGCCAAGTGACAGTTGCTGACCAACACTCGGTTCCCTCATTAGTGTGGCCCATCCAGTCACTCATCAGTCACTCGAGCGCCTAGTTTTTGGGTGGGTAATATATCACACGGCTCACGTCGAAGAGATGCGTAGGAAAAAGGGAAAACTGAACCAGAAAAATGAGCGTACTTGTTGAAAATCACACCTAGCAGAGCAGAGCCAACTCGGCTCCCCCCGGAAATTTCTGGAGGGGAATGCTGGGAGGTGTCACGGCAAAACAGCTAGCAGCGACAATGACAACGGTTCCACATTGTTGTCACATGTCATCCGACGCTGAAAAAGATGACACCACTCGGCGGGGGAAGCGCAGGGACGAGGATGAGCGTGAAATACGAGTCCTTCGGCATGTAGCACAAAATGAAATGGGCGAAAAATGATGAATGACAAAATTATACAGCAAATGCGCGTCGGGCTGACATGTGACCACTAATGAGGATCAACTGGAGTCGGGTCTGGAGGATGGGACATTTCTCGCTCTTTTTTGTTTCCAACCACTTGAAAGTCAAATTTTGGCATTAAATTTCGGATGGAAGAACAAACATCCTTTATGGATTGGGTTTCACCAGCACAACTCACTTCTTTATAAAGCATATTTATTTTATCCAAGAGTTCCACTTCAAAGGAGTTTGATATATATTAATTAATTTGGAATTTTTGAATATAATCGGGAGTTGTAAAGCTCTCTTGTAGGGAAAATACGCTTATCTAAACGATGCATGAGTCGAGGAAGACGTCATGCCCTAAAAAAGTGCACAGTGCCAAAATGGTCAGGAAGTCGGGTCATAAGCAGCCAAAGTCGTTTGCTAAAACGAGCATATCATGAGGGCAAGGACGCAGCAGTGGTAGCAACCAGACACTACCATTAAATAATAAAATGCAAAGTCAGCAGGAAATTCGCACTGGGGGTAGTTTCGTTCACTTTTCAGCTGAGCACACAAGAAAAACGGGGAAAAATGCAATTCGGCTTGGAGTTTTAAAGTCTTGATGAGGCGACTGGGGTTGAAAAGGTAATTCAATTTCAAGAGGCTGAACACACTCACTTGGGGTTGCTCACCAATTAGGAAATCATTGGGATTGAAATCATTAAAGGATCTTAAGAGGAAATATAAGGAAAAGTATATTTAAAGGTACTTTTTGAATATAAAATAAATTTAAATACCATATTAATTCGATCGTGATTCATAACTTGACCTTATTTTAACTGCACTCACAGCTATTTCTAAAAATAAACTTAACAAGATCATTGAAATGTTCGATTGAGGTATCATAGTTGAAAGTGATTCCGAATTTGGTCAGCGAACTTTCCAAAGCCATTTGCGATAAACCACTTTATTGACGGGGACGCCCACGCAAGTGGTTCGCCGGTTGATCGCCACCACCCAAGGTAATAAAATGTGCCCCACTGTGCGACAACGCTCAACATCCAAGTCCGGCGCCCGTCATCAAATGTCGCGATCTGCGAGCCACGATCAACACAGAAGGAGCTAAGAAAAAAAAAAGAGGAAAAAAATAAATGCTGCTGTGCGTCCAAGGCGATGCTGAAAGTGGTGCGGTGTGTTGGCTGTGAGTGCCTAAGTAGTAGTTGTCATTTGAGTGACTTTAATGGTCTGTTGAGACATAATCGCTGCCATTTTAAATGGAATTTTATTGCCACTTCACGAAATTTTTATTGCTGAACCAGCAAGCCAGGCCCGACCGACGACCGACGTCCACACCAAAATAAAAACAAAATACGTATGTATTTAAAAAAAAAATAATGCTGCATGCTGCGGTGACGATGACGTGGTGTACGGACTCTGGCGGTGGTGCCGCCGCAATGGCAACCAAATTGTTGCATTTAAAAGCAAATTGATGGCCGCAGAATTAAAGGAGGCCACACCATGGACAGTTGGCGAGTTGAGTTGCTGAAATTCAAGTTCCCCGCTCTCCGATTACGCATTAAGTTAAGGCTAACCAAGTCCACTGCACTGAGAACAATTTACATCTTATAAAGCTGAACAGGAGAAAGTAACTAAAATTATTTGTGAATACTATTAACTTACATTCACTACATATATTCATATTTATTTACTACTGGCATTTGTAAAAACACATTTTTCCTGGAATTAAAACGTAGAGGTGAAATCTACTTTATAATCTAATTTATAAAATATTTTACCTTAACAACTACAAACAGGAAATCCATTAACATCATCCCATCCGATCGACAAGTTTTCAGTGCAGCAGAGATCTCGGCGAAGCCTAAACAACGACGTGTTGGTATAATTTTGTAGACTAGTTTATTGGACACATTAAATATGGCCCGATAATTAAGTCATAAATTAGATTGCAACCGCGACGACGACGTGAACGACATGGACGAGTGTCACCGTATCAGGTTACGTGGCATCCACAGCAGGCGGCCTGCCACGAATCGAAGGCGACTGAAGGGGAATGCGTCTCATTTAAAATTGATGCCTAATCGAATTTCTTTATCGCGTGTGTATGTCTTGTCTCCGGCGAACTGAGGACCGGGCCTCCACATCCCCGTCTGTCTGGGCCAGAAAATTTATGGATTTGCATATTGCGACACTAAATGTTTTAAGGTCTCTGCCGGCGGAGGCTTGGCGACGATCGTGTCAGGAAGCTAATGTTTAATGAATTCAATTTCTTTATGCGCTACTTGGACGATTTGAAAATGGCCGGCGGTTCCAGTGGGGAAAAATCTCGAAATGAAAAATATGTATTTGATTTCAGTCTTTGGATGGCTTTGAGTAGGGTGTTCTGATTAGGTGAAAATAAAAGATTAATACTCGAAGGAAACTAAAAACCTAATCAAGGTGGGTCAGCGTCATTATTCACTCCAAAAAAAGGTAAAAGTGATAAACACAACATTTATTTTTGCTGACTAAAATTCCCTATTGCAGCATTTATTTAAATTTTAACCAATTTAGAAACCCTAAAAAAATTGATCCAATAAAATGTTGTAGAAAACAAAAATCTAACACCAATTAAAGTTGATTTTCTATTACAAAATTTTGACTCTACATTTGCGACCGCCATTGAAATGCCTTGATAAGTAATTGAAATTTGATTGGAAATAAATTGCTGCAAATTGATATTACAGAGTAAAACAACATTTTCAATGAATACATGACATAAACAATTTTTTTGATTAAAACAAATTGAACTACAACTGCAATTGAGACGGATTCGAAATTTCATTAGAAAAACTATGTTCAACTTTTATTACGAGTGAGTTGATACTTTCCGAGGTTAAATTGCCTTGCTGGCAATAAAAATAGGTGTGGCTAAGATAAATAAAATTATCCCTTTCACTGATTCGAGCGTCTTTCGTGTAAGTAGCGTATCACATGGCAACTTAACAGCTGCTGCTTAACCACATGAATCTCGAGAAGGGAAATTGGAATTGGCAGCTTTTCTGCGGTTCTCGGCTGTCTTGGCCAACACATGCCAAAACAAACAAGATCTCGAAGGCATCACTTTTGGCCAGGTTGTCAGGTAATGGAGACGTTGGTCAAGCATCTTGTGGACCGAGTGTGAAAGCCACAACCTTCGGATCTACTTTGCTGCCTCCGCTGGCGTGGCAAAATAAAACGCCAGCCTCGTAATTGAATATCAATTCAGGCCAACGCCCAAATGTTGGAGGGGCACGCCATCCAAACGAGGGAAAAGACAGTCAAATTGGAACGAGGACCGGGCAGGCAGGCATGTAAATTCGAAATGCAAACAGCGCATCCTTGCCATTCAATCACTCAGCCAGACGACAGCAGCAGCTCCCTTGATGGATGACAATCAATCTCAAGTGTCAGGCAAATATCAGTTTGTTTTCATTGAAGCGCACCACGGAATCGTGCAACGTGGTTGCCTTCTTCTTTCCTTCCTTCACTCCGGTGCCCCATCTGCCCCGGATCCTTCCACTCGACGAGTGTGAGTGAGTGACAACAGTCGAAATGAGTGAATGATTGAATGGCTGATGGATCGATGACTCCACTGACTGACTGACTAGCTGACTGACTGACTGCCGGCAAAACAAAGAATTGTGGCCAGGATGGCAAAAACTAAATAAGCCTGACCGCAAGCATAGAGATCAAGAGTTATGGGAACAACATGAGAAATATTAACCTTAATATGTGTTTATATTTTGATATTATGATCACACAATTTTAACATATTTTTAATTGATTAAGAAAAGCAATGTATTCAAAAATATATCATAGTATTGAATTTATTGTTATAATATTTTGGTATTATTTAAGAAAATAGTTTAAAAGGTTCACAAGATTTTTGTAGTAGTTCTTGGTCTTGACAAACTGTCATATTTATAATGATTTCCCATTTGCTCTTATGTTACAGGCTGTCTTAGGAAAGCCTTTCTTATCAACCCCTTTTGAATTATACAGTAGAACTAGTTCCAGTGAAATCGAACCCATCTGAGTACAAAGACTTCTTTCGCAGAGATAAGTTACCTCCGTCACATTGCAGACGTCCCGTCTCATTGAAATTTGATAAACAAAAGGCGCAGACCGCATCATCATCGTCATGAATGATGATCTTCGTTGCTCCAGCATCGCCGGCAACCTCAACTCAACCTCAACCTCAACGGCAGCCGAATGATGTCCGTTGACAAGTCACGCCAAGAGTGTCGAGTTAGCGAACAGCTGCCACCGCTTGAATCCCCTTCCCCTCGTAACCCCCTTAACCCCCCTCGGATCCCCCTTGTCGACGCCCCACTCATTCTACAGTGCCATCACATCCTCCTGTCATTCAGCGCCATTGTCGTTGTCACTTCCATCATTGTCAGCCCTGCCGCTTGATTTTGTCATTGTCACGGCGCGTTTGTTTTCTTTTTAGTTTTTTTTGTTTTTTTTTTTTTTTGCTTCGAGACGGTAGCCAGCATCGCCAGATCAACATCAATTTATTAGTTTTATTTTCTTCGCGGCATCGGGCATTTATAATCAAGCATTTTTTGTTCCCTTTCGGTTGCCTGGGATTTTTGTTGTGTCACTTCCGCTGAAGACATTTGTCGTCAGCACGAGCGACAGGTTCGGGCCTTATTGCTGGTGCACTGAGGAAAATATAGTTTAGAAGAAAGAATTGTGTAGAAAAACTGTTCAACTCTCGAACTATATCTACCAATAAGAACTATAAGAACT